AGGCCTCTGGCTGCAGGTTATGACTCCAGCTCGACCTAATCCCAGAGAACGGTTTCATAGTGGTCACCTGATCCATAAACAGGGTGTGAATGTGGGTTTCTGCGCCGGCACAGGGCAAGCAGTTCAACCCCGCTTTCTCTGTTGGGATTACAATGCCAAGGGAACATGCTCATGCAAGAGATGTAGATTCCGGCATGAATGCTCGGTGTGTGTGAGCCAGCACACAGAGGAATGCCATCAAGGATGCTGGAGGTAATAAGAAGGTGTCCCCCCAGCCCAATTAATTTAGAGGGACTGGGGGACAGTCGGTGACAGATAATGATAGTGGGCCACAGCTTAGTTTTTTGGGCTGCGAGATATGCTGCTCAGTTGGCGTGGGGTAGCAATTTGGGTCTCGCAGACAGAGCCCAAATCGTGTGGAGAGGGATCTGTGGACTGTTACGGGGCCAGTTATGCAGAGTGTCTGCATTCAGTGTGCAACCCCGGATGTCTTGATTATACATCTGGGAGGTCTGGAAATATTTTTGGCTGACATCAAGGGGAGGGCCCTGATTTTAGAGCTCAAGAGGCTTGATGGCGAGCATGGGCCTTAAGTGTAGTTTGCTCCTATGCCATGGCGGGTAATTCAGATATAACAGGTTTCGGTGAGTTCCCTCACAAACACGGGTAAAGTATAGCTCATCTGATCTCCCAGTGCCACAGATCGTGCAATTACAGCGCTTGGGGGAGAAGATCCGCTCGGGCTGCTCCCGGACCAACCGTCAACAAGAAGAAGGGGACTTGAGGTCTGGGGGTGATCAAATTTGGGCTGGCCAGGTTCTCACTGTCTTCACAACTGCGAGATATTGGGGCTCAGGACTCACCCATAGTTTGGTAGGGGTCCGTTGAGACCCCTCTGCAGAACCTCAATCTGCACCACCACAGGTCCCCCTTTTTCCATTGAGGATAAATTTGAAAATTTAATAAAGTGTGGCCCATGTTCATTCCATAACAGTTGTCTCGTGTCTTATTCCGGGGTAAGGGGATAATGGTAACGTGCTCTGAATAGAGGTCTTGGAACAGCGTCTAGTGTGGCTGAGAAGGCCAATTCGAGAGTGACCATCCCTTCCACACTGAAGACAAATACAGCCTGTCCCCTGTCCAGCTCCCTGGTTTTGCAGGTTTTGGGACTGCCTCTTGGCCTCAGCCTGCTGGACAAGGGTCTCTTCAAAATGGATGAGACCATGCTGCACCGCCTGCTTCCAGGCTGAATGCTCAGATTTCAATGAAGCACAACACACAGGCTGATTGCTTACAGAGTTACAAAAAACCCATCTTGTGCTTACATGTTATTAATCCTGGATCCATTCAACAAGCCAACAGCTATCATGTTTTAAATGTTGCATATTTTTTTAAAAGGATGCATATTCTTTCTGCTATGGACAAATAAAACTTGTCATCTCCTAAGGGAGGAATTGTCATCTCCTAAGGGAGGCGTGCTCTGGTCCATGGGGTCACGAAGAGTCGGACACGACTAAACGACTAAACACACACACAAGGGAGGAATTTTTTATATATATGCTTTCTTGTTATAACCCATGAGAATGAACCAGATCGTCATTCACATGCCCCCAGTTTTGACTTCACATGTCTTGAAATGGCTGTGGGCATAGAGATTTCTGTTGCTCCAGTGAGCAGAAGGATTTTATATTCCTGGGCAAAGGCTTAGCAGGCTGAAAATGGCAATAAGCAGAGAAAAGAGATGAGCCCATGGCTAAACAAGAGGTAATAGAGGCCACTATTTTAAAATTCTTGTACCTACTCTTTTAGATACAAACAGGTGAGAAACAGTATGTACAGTATCTCCTTTCCAGTAGAACTGAAAGCCTTCCACCTTGCAGCTTCGAATTTGATTGAAATAGAGATTTAAATAGGTTAATCTCCGAGCATGTGGAAGATACCATTTGGAACTACAACTCCCAGCGGCCATGTCAGCTGGGGCTTTTGCGAGATGTCATTCAAACTAGAATATTTCTTAAGTTTGGCTGTCGATCTGTCTGCCTCTGTCAAGCCGAAGCGGCATTCAGGCACTGAACTTTTCTGTCTCTTGCCCACTGTGATTTGCGCTTAATCTCAGCCAGATCCTAAACACGCAAGGAAGCAGCAGAAAAGAAGCAGGCATAAGGGTGCGGGTGGCGTCGGGAGTCTCTCATGGGGAGAAGGGGAGCAAGAAACAACTTCGACATGCGGGGCCCCTGGAACTGACACACAGAATCAGGACACATTGCTTTTGTTTGAAAAAGGAAAAAGAAAGATCAAGTTCAATCCCCAAACCAGGTCACTTGTTGAGTTCTCACCTGTAATGTGCCCCGACAATATAGCAAAAGGAAGTATTATTTAGAAGGAAAGGGATCCCACAGGACTAGATTTATTGCACAACCCAAGGGTAACTCAACTGATTCCTTTTATACCTCCTTAGTTGTATTTCTGCTCACATATAAACTTGTCAAGGCATATCTGTTTCCTTTTCAGTATTATAGGTGAAAATGAAATAAAAATCAAAAGTAAAAAGAGACAAAAACTTGGAGGCATCTTAAAGACTAACTTTTATATTTTTTTAATGTGAGTTTTCGTGGACATGTCCACTTCATCAGACGTAAGAGGAGGAGTTATAACATGGTAAATATGTATGCATCACATCAAGGTTGTGGTTGGTTGGTAAGAAAGTCAGTGGGTGTTAAACATTGTGATGATACTGTCTTTGATATGCAGGTGTTTTGTAGAAGCTAGTGCTGTGAAGAATATGAGGACCTCTGTCATAGATTAACAATGGTAAGATAACAATGGTAGTGTAACAATAGTGTTAATCAGATGTGTTATTGGTTGATGAACTTTTCCTCTGTCATAGATTAACAATGGTAAGATAACAAAGGTAGTATAACAATAGCGTTAATCAGATATGCTATTGGTTGATGAACTCCCCCCCTCCCGACAAGCTTTTCTTTGTAATCAGTTGCAAAGTGTGTGAATTACCCCAGACAATGGATAACCACCAGAACAGAGTGGAATCTGTTTTGCCTTAGGAAAGGGAAGAAAAATATCTGGGACTTGCAGTACAGTACAATATTTGTTTATATCTGGTAGTGGCTCAAAAAGCCTTGGCTTATATTAAGACCTGTGATACGTGTGTCTAGCATGTGTATATATTTTATCTCGCTGTTTCTTTCTGAATCCTTTTCAGTACGATATACTTCATGCTGAGGTGAAAGTGGGCAGGAATCAGGAGGAGAGAGTATCTTTCTGCGTGGGTTTCGTGCATCAGAGGGATCAGAGGACTTCCATGATTTGCAAATGTTTTCTACTGAGAAACAACAGTTTTATCTATCCCAGTGGCTAACATTGGAGAGAGAGGCACTTTATCCTACCATGAGCTGAGCATGTCCATTCTGGAACGACCCCCCTGAATCTCCATTCCCTTCTTCCTGGCGGTCCACCACACGGCATTTCACAGCGTCCTGTACCTAGAAAAGGGTGTCACATGAACAAGAATCAGAGGAACATTTCAGGTTGAAAAAGATCTGAAGTTGGGTGGTGTGTAGCTTCAGCCTTGGATGACATGTATTGTCAACAAAACTAGCTATGGAATAAATCAAGAGGAAAACCGAATGTGGAACCCTAAGGTGCAACTAGACGGTGAGAAAGGACCGTATTTGATCAACCAGGAAGGGTGGCTTTGCTGGGAGTGTCCTTCCTTAAAGCAATTTTTATGTCTATTGGGGAATCTCTTCCAGCCCAAAGAAAGTGTAGGCCTGCCACTGGACCAAAATGGCCCAGCTTGTGCATGGAGCCTGGCCAGGCTGATTTGCAATCTCCCATACATTGTGCTATCACCAGGAAATAGCTCACACTGGGCCAATAAGTGGTCCAGATGGCGAGCTATGTCCCCATATAATCTCAGCCAGATATTTGTTCCTTTTAAGTCAATTGTAGTAGAATGTCCAGAAAAATATGAGACCATCCATCTTCACATCCAAAAGCACAGAACTCTTTTATTTCTGTCTTGAGAACGCTGCTTTTAAAAAGTGTGAACAGCTTCTCAAATGTGTGCTTCCAACCTATGAGGTGCCCAGGGAAACCCTTACCATCAGAAGAATAAAATGTAGTGTTGGATAGAGGGTGGTCCATTGAAATAAATGGCAAAGGTCTGCCATTACTCCCTTAAAACCCACTGACTTCTATAGGTCTAATGTAAGCACTGGAAAATCTGTATCCAATTCATTCTTTCTTTTTCACATTTTTACTTATTATGTTTCTGTGTTGCCTTTCAACGAATAGTCTTAACTTACACATTAAAAGCAGGCAACGGTGGAAGCGACCCAAAATATCTTGATCCTCAAGATCATTATGGTCTGGCCAAAATGTTCTTGAAGAGAGGATATTAGCAGCTTCTGGCTTTTCCATCTCTTAATGGAGGAAGCTGTGAAAGGCACAAGTGAGCGAAAACGGATGTACAAATCTCGCCCTGCATTCATTTTGTTGCAATTATTGTCATGCTGGGCCTGGGGTGGCCATCGGGGACTACTCTCCCACCACCCACTGCATGTCTTACTTGATTGTAGAAAGGGAAAATAAATGTATTGGATTTGCAAAACCATTTCCCTGTGGCTATACCAATTTCCCACCTCCTGAGCTTAGAAGAAAACTAGATATTGTTTCAGAAATCCGTATAATTCCAAGTCTTGCAGCTAATTGTGGTGAAGGAAGACAGGCACCCAATACCATTTGAAAAATGTACACAATGAAAAAGGAATGTCGTTGAAAAAGGTAGACAAGCATGCATTAGTCAAATCAAGTCATAATGCTTTGAAATATGTTCGTTACTTAAATGGATACACACAGAAAGTGACCACTTTTCTGTATAGAAAAATAAATAAATGAATCTCCCCTATTCAGCTCAGTTGGTGATGATCCAAATCTTTTTTTTTTTTCATAAGGCTGCAAGGAGACATGGACCACAATTCTACTGAGCCTTTACGTTGGTGTAACACAACTGTTGTGGAGTTTGCCACTTGATTTGGTGGAAATAGCAGGTGTTGCTGCTAGCTTTTCTCCATCGGACAACTCATTAATAAGGTTTACATCCATTTCATTCTGCTGGTGGAGACAAGTATTAGGGTTTTGGTCACATTTGGCAGCAATACACCTATGAAGGGATTTAGGAGTGCTGGTGAGGTTTTTACCAAGGATCTCCCTCCATCCACCCCAATAATTCAATGACTTTACACCCCTGAAATCCTTGGAGCAAATCAGATTGCAGTAACCCTCAAAGGTTGCGTCCCTAACCAGTAACACTAGTTCTGTAGGGTAGTGAAATGGGTCTCCTCCAGAATAGGGCACGTTACCTATGTGGATAAAGGCAGAAATAGTTGTTACAAGTAATCCACCATGAGATACAGAAAAACCCTGAAGGGCTGATTTTGTGTGCAAAAGATTCCTTTACCTGTTGGAGTTTGCAGATCAACTTCCTTTTTCCCCCTAAGTGGTCCTCAGAACTCAAGCACAGCATGCCACTAAAGTTTGATTTCTCAGACATGAGACTCTGCCCAAATCACATCTCTCAGACACCTCTGTGTTTCGAGCACGAAGATACAACTTCTCCATAATGTCTGTTTCTGCCCTCAGTTTAATAGGGTCTACGTAGGCAAGGCTCCAGTACTTTGGCCATCTCATGAGAAGAGAAGACCCTCCTGGAAAAGACCCTGATGTTGGGAAAGTGTGAAGGCAAGAGGAGAAGGGGGACGACAGAGGATGAGATGGTTGGACAGTGTCATCGAAGCGACCAACATGACTTTGACCCAACTCTGGGAGGCAGTGGAAGACAGGAGGGCCTGGCATGCTCTGGTCCTCGGGGTCACAAAGAGTCGGACACAACTTAACCACTAAACAACAACAACGTAGAGGAGCCTACCTCTCTTCTCAGGATGCAATGGACCATGACAATGACAAAACCCTCCAGGGAGTCAAAAACTGCAAACAGGATCTGGAAGAGGGCCGACCGGCGATCCGTGATGGCCAGCACAGCTGACATCCAGGTCAGGGCGAGGAGAGGGAGGACAACGCAGGAACTCCACAGGGACGCCCTGTTTGGGGGAGGGGGAGGGAACAAAGAGAAGACATCACTTAGCTTTGTCCCAAGTGCCGTGGCTGTGCTGTGGTCACTCAAGTGAGAGAATCCCACAGGTTTCCTAATCCCAAAAGATCCCTTTTGGTACAAGGCAGAATGATCCCCAATGGTTTCCGAGGTATGAATAAATTAAAATACGGATGCTTCATAGGGGGAAAAGAAACATGTATGGCTGTTATATTCATACCTAACCTAACTGAACCACTGTAGGCTAGGTCAGAGAACACGTTGTTCTCTGGGATTTTTTTGCAAGACACAGACATAACAGGGTCTGCAGATGTTGGATGGTCCGGTTGGTTCAGTTGGAAAAATAATAATAATCATAAAAACCAGTCCTGCATAGATACTTCTTTGAGCGTATCTGTTTATTCCTGTGCGTCCTTTAAGGATCGTGAGAAAAGAAAGCAGGTTCTTCATTGCACCTGATTTAAGTACATTTTGACTTTAAAAGCTAGGTAGTGTAGCACTGTGTATGCCACGTTTTGCCCTCAAAGAGAAATTGGGCAAGGGGAGAGACACTTTATGTGTGTTTTTTCTCCAAGAAACCACTCCAGAAATCTTGCAAGATTTCTCTGCTGTCATGCTGTAATTTTTTAAAAAAAATCTGGGGGAAATGCCAGCCTGGAGCTATTACAAATCCTGCACAGAATTGCATCGTTCCTATATAGGATTCGCCTGGAAAGGGCAGAAGAAACATCAAACAACTCCTGAACAGGATGGCATCATTCCTGCGCAGGATTCACTAGAAAGGGCATTCCGTTGTACAGAACTTGGATGTTTTCTGTACAGACTGATAGGTAAAAATATGAAATGGAATGACAACTGAACAATTGGGCAGGGGAGAGGAAACTAGGAAATCTGGCTGATGCTGGAGGAAAATCTCCTTTGGGTGTCTCAGCATGGCAAGAACTGCAAAATTGCTGAAAACAAAACAAAACAAAATTAGCAAGTAATCATTCCCTCTCTGATAGTGTGTGTTGGTAAACTCTGAGGGTGAGGAAGTCAAGGAGAGAGCTTGCTACAGGCCACTCTCCAGATGAGTAGAGCACCTTTGCATTGCAATGCTAGTAGAAAACCCCAAAGCAGCAAGTTGAATATAAAATATTTATTAGAGTGGTGCAGATTTGCAGGGGTGGTGGTGGTTTGGACTACAACTCCCAGAATCCCCCAGGCACACAGTTAGGTCCAAAGCACAAATAGGCCCTGCCTACAAAATGGCCTAGGGCCAATGCTGGGCTTCAGAACCCTCACCGATGAGAATGCCACGTCCTCTGACTTTTCTCCAGATGCCTGGGATCCATTTTTAAGAGGTTACGTGTAACGCTAAGTGAATATTCTGTATCCAAACCACCCAACCCTCAGGCTCGCAAGGGCCACCATCTGTGACAAAACATTTGCTGGAGGTGGCAAGAACATGGGGGGGGGGTGGGAAGTCATAGCTCCTTAAGAAGCAGCCGCAGCCTGTTCAACGTATGTGGCCAACTAAACGTCTATTAATGGACGTGGTGGTTTGGACTACAACTCCCAGAATCCCCCAGGCACACAGTTAGGTCCAAAGCACAAATAGGCCCTGCCTACAAAATGGCCTAGGGCCAATGCTGGGCTTCAGAACCCTCACCGATGAGAATGCCACGTCCTCTGACTTTTCTCCAGATGCCTGGGATCCATTTTTAAGAGGTTACGTGTAACGCTAAGTGAATATTCTGTATCCAGGACTACAACTCCCAGAATCCCCCAGGCACACAGTTAGGTCCAAAGCACAAATAGGCCCTGCCTACAAAATGGCCTAGGGCCAATGCTGGGCTTCAGAACCCTCACCGATGAGAATGCCACGTCCTCTGACTTTTCTCCAGATGCCTGGGATCCATTTTTAAGAGGTTACGTGTAACGCTAAGTGAATATTCTGTATCCAAACCACCCAACCCTCAGGCTCGCCAAAAGGGCCACCATCCATGACAATACATTTGCTTGAGGTGGGAAGAACATGGGGATTTGGGGAGGTCATAGCTCCTTAAGAAGCAGCCGCAGCATGTTCAACGTATGTGGCCAGCTAATCGTCTATTAATGGATGGAAGGTCTACTAATGCAAAAAGCAGAAAAAGCAAAATGTGCTCTTTATATACTGCACCATAGCACTTGAAGCACTCTCTGGGCAGTTTACAAGTTAATGATGCAGGCTACACAGCTGGGGACTCATTTTACGAACCTCTACTCTCTGGGCGGTTTACAAGTTAATGATACAGGCTACATATTGTCTCCCCTCCCAGCGAGCTGGGGACTCATTTTACGAACCTTGGATGGAAGGGTGAGTGAACCTTGAGCCGGCTACCTGGGATTGAACCCCAGGTTGTGAGCAGAGTTTTAGTTGCAGTACAGCAGTTGAACCACTGTGCCATGAGGTTCCTGCCATGGGCAGCCAATGCAGACTGCCATGGGCAAATGATATACCAATTTTGACCAGCTTAACAGGGTGGTTTTGAAACATACAGCAGGAAATGGTGCAAGCGGAGTGCCCAAGGAATAACTCGTAGTGAGCTTTGAACTTTGCAGCTAGCTGTTTGGTGAGCACTCTTGCCTAATATTGCATGCCAAGGCTGAATAAATCAGTGCCAATTCATAAATGTCTCTTAGTACATTCTTCTAGAAACACACTGCATGTGTGTTTTCCATCTTGGGAAAGCTGAAGCTAACTTATTTGGCATGAAGACCATTTAAAAGAAAGGACAACGCTCTGTGGCCCAAATGTAGAGCACAAAGGCAAATGTCTTAAGCATCCTCACCTACTCTGGCAGTCTCCGTATTGCGTGCCCATTCTCACTTTGGTGGCGAGAGCAGTGGCACAACTGGTTGTGTGATGCGAGGTCTGCTGGAGTGTGTGGTAGGCTCATGCCATTGGCCTCTGCTCTGTGTTGGCAGAAAGAAATATACTATATTTTCACAATCTGAAAATATAGTGTATTTCTTTCTGCCAATTCTCTATATTTAAAAAGCCCCAAACCAAAACATAATACCACCATCCACCTCTTTTTCTCCACTCTAGCACACCCCCAGTCCTGCTTCCTCAGTTCAACAGATTACCTGGGCTCACAGGAAATCCCAACAAAGCCACCCTTGATAACGACTTTAATAACATTGACTTGAGGACAAGCACAGGGTGGGGAGAAGAGGATGCAACCCGACCAAAAAAGGGGAACAGAAACTACACATGAGGGTGGGTGGAAGGAGGGAGAGATTAATGACACAGAAGCAGAGGCATTTCCCATGCAAGGTGCAAGAAAGAGTCAACAAGTCTATAGTTTGTCTACCGGGTCAATCAGTTCTGTAACTAAATGACATTGATTTGTCTACCCAAGGCACAGCTGCCAACATCTGGGTGAGTCTCCTCCACTAGGTTCTGCTATGAAGAGCCTGTCCAGGCGGGCATAGAGCTCGCTAACTGGATCCTTTCTGGTTGGTTCAAATCAAATGGGAGGCTCCACACGTGCTTTGACTCGCAGCAGTGGTTCCCAAATTGGTTTGACTTGTAGCTCGCTGGCCACCGGCTGTGGCTCTCCCAACATTGGGTGAGGCGAGGGAGAAGGGAGGAAGGAAATCCAGCCTGAGTTGTAGATTCCATAGCACCCCTGGCTGGGGCTGGTGATGCCCTGGGGTATGATCCTGTACTGTAGCCAGAGTGGTGGACTACCTATGATTTGTATCAACATGGGACCTTCCATTAGCTTAGTACCCTGGAACGCTTGGGCCACGTTACATCCATACTCATGGTCTGAGAAATCCTTTGAGAATTAAATCATACCTTGAGAATTAAATCATTAAATCCTAAACTACCTTTGGAAGGTGGGTCTGTACATGCAGAATGCTACCAGCATCTGCCATCTTTAAGAGCCACTAACTCACAAATGCTGGGCATAGATGGAAGCAGCGGAGGCTGTTCACCAAGTCTGTGGGAAGTGAGAAATCTGCTCCTGGTTTAAATCCAAACTTTATAGGAAGCACAGAAGGTACTAAACCCGACCCCCTTGGATAGCTCTTTCAAAGTTCGGACGAAAACCCAGAGCAGATATAAGGCCCCCTACTCCTTGGAGTCGCCAGTCTCTGCTAGATGGACGTGCTTAAGATGCCAAGGAAACAGAAGGAAGAGGAAGCGTCAAAAAGGAGCTTCTGTAGTACAGAGAAAGTTGGAAGGGACAGCATGAGAAGGACTTATTGTAGAAATGATTAGGAAAAGGACAGAGAGAGCCTTCAGGAAAACTTTGAGGTCGATCCTAAAAAGTGGGGAAGTGAACAGCATAGAAAAGCGTAGATGCATTCATAGTAGAGGGTGAGGCAGGATAGGAAGGAGAAATTTATTTTCTTGATTCCAGGCAGGAACCAAACAGAGCAGACGGCACTGTCGGAGCAGATAGGACCGAGAAGAAAGGATGGGTTTTGAATGGGTGGAAAGAGTAGCAGCGGAAGGAGGAGGCGGGGAGATGTGAAAGGAGAATCAGAAAGCAGTCCTTAAGGCTGTACATCTTCCCAATGTGAGAAGAGAACAGTGGTACACAGAAAACTGAGATAGCAGAGGCATGCCAGAGTTTTCGTGGGATAGCCAGGGGTTTGGTTAGGAGCAGCATATGCAAGTGATGATGCTGAACAAAATTTGCAGGAGGGAATTTGGGGGTAAAGACACAGAATAGCACAGAAGTTGTACTGCAGCCTTTAAGCAGAAATATGCCTAGGTCTCTCTCCCTCTATCTCCCAAAACACCATCAAACCTCTGAGTGGGCGCCTGATGGAGGCGGCAGTGGGTGCCCACACCTGTTCACCCAAAGAACAAACCAGTGCAAACTGCTGGCTGGTTCGTGCCCATCTCTAATTGCAATACTCTGTCTCTCATATCCAGGCACCAAACAAAGATCCTGTGGTCCCAAATCTGAAGGATGTTCACTTGGATGAATGATAGTGGTTTTTGCTTTCCTCATTGACTTTGCTGAAACTCTAATTACACAAGCTCAGACTGCACAGAAGCATCACTCTGGACTGGATTTCACACCCAGATTTTATACAAATTTGCCAGAGTTCTTTCATGTATGGAGACGGAAAAGCAGACTCTGCACTTGTATGAGGAATGGGCTTTCACTGAAACCTACTGTGATTTAAGCCATGATACAGAGCATCCAACACGTGGTGGTGCTGCGGGTTAAACCACAGAAGCCTCTGTGCTGCAAGGTCAGAAGACCTGCAGTTGGAAGATCAAATCCACGCGATGGAGGGAGCTCCCATTGTTCATTCCATCTCCTGCCAACCTAGCTATTCGAAAGCATGTAAAAATGCGAGTAGATAAATAGGCACCACCTCGGTGGGAAGGTAACAGTGTTCCATGTCTAGTCATGCTGGCCACGTGACCATGGAAACAGTCTTCGGACAAATGCTTGCTCTATGGCTTGGAGACGTGCATGAGCACCACATCCTAGAGTCGGACACGACTGGACTAAATGTCAAGGGGAACCTTTACTTTTACCTTATAGAGCAGCCAACATTATGGATAAGTTTGAGTGGGATAATTTTAGTTTTTCTTGGGAATTCTCTAAGACTACTTTCCTAATTTCCAAAAGGGGGGGCAGCCATCGCTCTTTGGCTGAGCATGTGCTGTGCCCACTGAAGGCAGCATGTTTAGTCCCTGATGTTTCTAGCTCAAAGGGATCCAGTGGCAGGTGATGCAAAAGCTCCTCCTGCCTGCCAGAGGGCGCCATCCTGGGCCAGAGAGACCTTCTCTAGGACAGCTTCCTGTTTCTGAAACAGAACCTTCTCCACTTGCTGTCCTGAGCATTTCAAAAGTGAGGGAGGGACCATTTTACATCACATGGCCCTTATAAGCCATCACAAAATTCCTTGGATAAGATTTGTAGACCGGGGCACATGTGGCACCTCAGGAACAGCAACCACATATCCCATAATCTCAGATTCTTGAGGACTCAATGCGGGCCAATGTGTGAAGCATTGTGGACACGTTCACAACAGTGCAAGACTTTGAGGCAGCCCAGTAAGGGTGCCTCTGTCTTTAGAACAGGCTACCTAATGGGGATGTGGTGGTGCTGTGGGCTAAACCGCAGAAGCCTGTGCTGCAAGGTCAGAAGACCAAGCAGTCGTAAGATCGAATCCACGTGACGGAGTGAGCGCCCGTCGCTTGTCCCAGCTCCCACCAACCTAGCGGTTCGAAAGCATGCAAATGCAAGTAAATAATTAGGTACCACCGCGGTGGGAAGGTAAACAGCGTTCCGTGTCTAAGACACACTGGCCATGTGACCACGGAAAGATTGTCTTCGGGCAAAAACGCTGGCTCTATGGCTTGAAGAGCGGGATGAGCGCCGCCCCCTAGAGTCGGACACGACTGGACAAAAATTGTCAAGGGGAACCTTTACCTTTACCTTTACCTAAGAGGGGTCTGAGGAACATGTGATCTAAGGCAGTGGTCCCCAACCTTGGGCCTCCAGATGTTCTTGGACTACAACTCCCAGAAGCCTTCACTGCCTCCTCTGCTAGCCAGGATTTCTGGGAGTTGAAGTCCAAGAACATCTGGAGGCCCAAGGTTGGGGACCACTGGTCTAAGGTGTGATACACCATGGAGATCTTGATCAGACATAACCAGAAACCTGCATTACATCTAGAAGTCAAGAGGACTGGGGAGACGCTGGAGCATGGAAGCTATCTGTCACTGGGGCACCACGAACAACAGGATAGCAAAGGGGTCTTGCCTCTCATTTCTCTAAGGCTTCTATTGCTCCCTACACAATACTTTGAAACATCATTCTCTCCAAAAATCAACCCTAAAATGCAGGCTCTCTTTTCATGCTTTTTTCCATAAGCAATCTGAGGATTCTTAGCTGCCAACACAAAGCACGGCCAGATTTTGAAATGGAAACGTGCCAGACACCTGCGTAAACTGAGAGCATAGTTGGGCCGTCCCTTAAATATGGCATTAAGGTTGAATCTCAGGTTCTAGCCAGCGGTACCTTTTCTTTATTATTATTATTATCATTTTTTAAAAATAAATCTTTCAGACCATGCCACGGCTCTCTCGAAAGACTCATTTACACTCTTCACTTCTGACTAATCTCACTCAATTTGAAAGGAACTCAACAGACAAAATTTTCAAGAGGAGAAATACGGAGAAGTAAATGTTCACTGAATGGTGGGTTGAGGGGTGTGAGAAAAGGACAAGGGGTTCTTTCTTTTATCACAATTACGGGGCGGCGACGGCATGGGTGTAAACGTCTTTTTTTTTAATTGCCCCAAAACCTCTTTGCTGTTCCATCATATCCTTGACATCCTATTCATCGGCTAAAGAAACCCACAGGGAAAAATATCATGAGATAAAAATGTTTCCCTCTCAGATCAGGATGTGTGGGCTACTGGAAAGGCTGCATGGCAATAGGAGATGTCCTCCACAACACTAATGGGAAGTCAAAACACCACAAAAGGACATTCTAAGAGTATCCAGAGAACATGGCTGATACATAATCATCATTTCTGCCTCTTTCCTTCGGGAAGACAAAAATGTGGTAGGCTGGAGGCCGGGTCTGGATACTGCATTTGCTGGTAAGCAAAACGGAAGTGCCTCGCTGGCGTTAGCAAAATTGGCCTCCAAATAACTTCTGAACAGCAGGATGTGGGTGGCCTCTAGAACGGGACAATTGGAGGGGACCTCTGGGGAAAGGTAGCCCTCGGGATGAGGACCAGGGAGAGAACAAGGAAGGCCAAAGAGCCGGGTGGAAGAAATCAAGACCAGGTGCAGCAAAGGAGCATGGCGGAGGAGGAAGGCTCGTAACGAAAAGAAAGAAATCATAATAATACTAAAAAGGAGAAAGAAAGGAAGTTGAAATTAGAGGAACTAACATGGCGTTACTGGTGGCTGTGGCCGAAACGTCAGCGGAAGAAACCACTCCACACTTGGTACATTTGAGCGTGATGCCGTAAAGAGGCACTGCCATCTGACTGCAATTAAAATTAAAAGACTGAAATAAAACAAAACACTTTGCTCGTGAACACAAATGAAAAGGGCGAGGGGGGAGGAAAGCAGGCAGGAAGAAAGGGGGGAAAAAAGCAGGGAAAGGACCAGAATATTTAACCAAACGGTTTAAAAGGAAAGAAAAGGGAAGCGGGGCAAAATGAACCCCCCCAAAAAACTGACGACACCCATAGTTTGAAAAAGAGAGGGGGGAAAGTAGCAGAAAGGGGAGGGTCAACACTCTTAACAATGTCATTCCAGGGGGAGGAAACCATGAGCCCCCAGCCCATCACCTCCCCAACCCATCTGCCCCATGGAAGATCAAGAGTTGTGTCAAAGTCACGAGGGTTAGACAGAACTGTGTTGGAAAGGATGGAGGGGTGAGAACCTGACCTTCAAGGTCATCTGGTGGTATCACGATGGACTCCAGGGTCGGCTTCACAACACTGATGACTGAGAGACATCTGAGGAAGCTCCTGCATCAAAGAAGATCTGGAGGGAGCCGGGGGGGGGCTCAAGTTGGCCATGCCCTCCTCCTCCACACACCCCCACCCCACCCAAGGTGTCCTTTCAATGGCCAACGTAGTAAGTCTTTCAGAAGTAAAGACAAATATGCAGAGAACTCTTCCATGAAAGGACAACCCACAGTTAGCCCGAATAGGAACCGAGATTCCACCACCACCAGCAACCAGAAAATATCCACATTTCTCAGGGTGGGTGGTGGTGGTATATGGTCAGTTGTTAGCCTTATTGTTAGCCTTAAAGTTGCACATTGTCTCGTCCGTACCTTGTGAGATGTGGTTGGGGAATCTCAGGGCCTGTCTGTGCCTATGTGCCGGGTTCTCATGTATGCTTTAAAGAATATTTATCGCTGTAGCTGTATGGGGGAAGACGGGAGGATGGTCTTGAGAAGGGGCCTCTAGAACAGTCATTTATCGCTGTAGCTGTATGGGGGAAGACAGGAGGATGGTCTTGAGAAGGGGCCTCTGGAACAGTCTATACCAGTGGTCTTCAACTTTGGGCCTCCAGATGTTCTTGGACTACAATTCCCAGAAGCCTTCACCACCACCTCTGCGGCCAGGATATCTGGGAGTTGAAATCCATGAACATTTGGAGGCCCAAGGTTGGGGACTCCTGGTCTAGACAACCTAAGGCTGTATACGCAAACCCTTATCAGGGATGGCCAGAGTTGTCTTAAAACTGGTCGAAACCTGTTGTCCGAGCCACATCTCCGTCACCACCACAAACATTCTGCTAAGTAGTTAGCATAAGAAACCAATAAGAAACCAAGAAGAAGGGGCTTGTAAAGCATAGCCACTAGCGTGTATCTCTTCGCATTCATAAAATTGCATTGCCCCACGCTGCTCCCCTTTTCTTGGTCTTCCACCAGGGATGGTCCCCGCTTAAATTGTGGGCAACAGCACCACATTGGCTCAGCGTGTGGAAGAGGAGACCATGTGTCTCCCTCCCTCTCAATTTCTTCCCTTTTGATAGATATATTTGTTCTTCTCTTCTGTGATGTTCTTTTGTACAGGGCCAACTCTGGCCATGGATCCTATTAATAAAGGAAACTGACTTTCCCAGGTGAGCAAAAGGAAATATAGTCAAGGGCAGAGGGAAAGAAAGGAAGTCTTCTCTCTGCCTGTTTGTCACAGCCTTGAATTTCTTGTAGTGTAACAAATGGCACTGGTTATCATTTAAAAAGAAGACATTGGACTCCAGTCTCTCTGCTGTGAACCCACTCAACTCATTTTCCTTCAAAATGATGTGCGATCACATGTGTACTTATTTATTTTTATTTATTGATTCTATTTACATCCCGCCTATCTGGTCTTGTGACCACTCTAGGCGTATGTATGCCTGTTTCCTATCTGGTCTTGCGACCACTCTAGGCGTATGTATGCCTGTCCCCCCCTTCTTTCCAACACAGTTTGAAAAAAAAAATAACAACACAGGCTGAGCTCAACCTGGTACCTAAGTCATTTGACCAAAATTGACACATCCCTTAGTCCTCCAGGCACTTGGGCATGTTGAACAGGTAACACATTTCAAACGGTTAACAAAATCAGCAGACACACTCAACATGGAGAACACACCACTAAAAGCATTTCACACGCAACTGAAGAGATTAACCAAAGAAGAAAGCGAAGAAGATATGAAAATCAGCAGCACCCCACATTTACCTAAGCATTCTCTATTTCCAGAGCACTTTGAACACAGCTGATAACCAGCTGGAGGAGGAACAAGTGCATACACATCCATGTTTTAGCAAGAGAATGGCTTACCATAAAGCCCTTTGATGTCTGTGTGGTTTGATACTGGATTAAACATGCCCGACAGAGATGCATAATGACTTTCACTAAGTAGGGGCAGATAGTGTGACACTTCCTTGTTATTATTGTCTCAACACTCTACCTGTTCCACTCTACTTCTGAGTCAACATGGCCAACTTTTCAGGGTAATTTTGGAAGGCCTGCATGCATGTTGATGCCATTCTGACAGTATGGACTTTGCTTCTCATACAGAGGGGAACCAGAGTTTAAAATAGGCCTTAAATCAATCAGGAACTCAAAGCGGCAGAATGCTTTTGGGAACAAATATCAGTCCTACCACATCATCTCAGAATCCACAAATGCCTGAAATCCATACCTGACATTTTGGGTGTAGCACAAGGTTGGTGATATCTCAGCCACCTTGCTTTCATCTTGTACCTAAAAATCTAGCAAAATGAGACCTCCATGCATATGGACTGTGATAAAGCCCAGGAATGTCTACATATGCGATCAGTTATGATCTTACGTGGTGGCGCTGCGGGCTAAACTGCAGAAGCCTGTGCTGCAGGGTCAGAAGACCAAGCAGTCGTAAGATCGAATCCACGTGACGGAGTGACCTCCCGTCGCCTGTCCCAGCTCCCGCCAACCTAGTGGTTCGAAAGCATGCAAATGCGAGTAGATCAATAGGGACCACCTTGGTGGTGATAAAGCCCAGGAATGTCTACATATGCAATCAGTTATGATCTTATCTACCTACCCCCCTTTTTAAGGATCAGAACCTAGTTGTTTATAGCAGTGGCTCTCAAACTTGTGTCCCCAGATGTTCTTGGACTTCAACTCCCAGAAATCCTGGCCAGCACAAAGTGGGCAAGGCTTCTGGGAATTGCAGTTTAAGAATCAATAGGGACCACCTTGGTGGGAAGGTAACAGCGTTCCATGTCTAAGTCGCCCTGGCCATGTGACCACGGAAGATTGTCTTTGGACAAAACGCTGGCTCTATGGCTTGGAAATGGGGATGAGCACCGCCCCCTAGAGTCGAACACGACTGGACAAAAATTGTCAAGGGGAACCTTTACCTTTACCTATGATCTTACCTACCTACCCCCCTTTTTAAGGATCAGAACCTAGTTGTTTATAGCAGTGGTTCTCAAACTTGTGTCCCCAGATGTTCTTGGACTACAACTCCCAGAAGTCCCGGACAGCACAGCAAGTGGTGAAGGCTTCTGGGACTTGAAGTCTAAGAACATGTAAGAAGACCCCAGCTGGAGGACCACTGGTTTAGAGCAGTGGCTTCACAGCCATTAATTCTTCTGAATTAAATAGGGTTCTTTGGACCCTGGTATACTAAGTTTGGGCTTTTTCAGTGGAACCCGACACCCATTACAATAATGGCTAGGAATGAAGGAAGCTGTGAGATCCAGTGTTGGTAAAGGCCATGGGTTTAAGCTGGAAGCTGTTCCAACTGCATAGCAAAAGGCACAGGGCCAGATTTCCACTATGAGAGGGAACGGCAAGTGTAGATTTCAGAAGCCCACCTTGGCTTATGGTCTACATGAGCTGCGTTCCGAGGGCTGGGAGGAGGGAGGCTAAAAGGAGATCCCATAACAAGAGAAGGAGTGAAGAGAATCCCATATTTCTTCACTTGCACATCTATATTTCAATTAAAATGAATCCATGATGGCCAGGAAGGATGTGAATCTTCACTCATTTCATTCTTGCCAACGGGACTGGAACATTTCCAGCACTATCTGTCCATTGGGCATAGCTGTGAGCATGGCTTTCTGTCCGTCATGCATTTCTTATGTTTTCACATTTTTTTGCGTAAAATTTGCGAACATTTTTTGTCCAAAATAGTTTTTGTGTAGACCAATCTCTGCACCAAACAGGCAGAATAGCAAGTGTGTGTGTGTGTGTGTGTGTGTGTGGGTTCCTGCCAAAGCTGCTGATAAGAAACTGTTGGTCTTTCCCTTCCCATATAGAAGAGAAACATCTCACACTGGTTGACCTTTCTTTTCTTTTCTTTTTTTGGGGGGTGGGGTGGGGTATCTTCCATGTTTCAAAAAAACACATTTCTGTTCTTCTTGAGACCCAGAGCCTGCGTAAACAGTGGCATTTGGGGGAACAGGTAGGGTGAATTTCTGGCAAAGAATCAAACTCACTGGAGCTGCCCTGGTGGATACTGGAAACACAGCAGGGGAGCAAGTAACTGTTGGAGAGCTCAGTGGTTTAGGCATCTAAGTTGAGAGTTTGAATCCCCACTGTGCCTCCGGGAGAGTGACGAGACTTGATGATCCATGAGATCCATTCCAGCTCTGCAATTCTCAGGTGGCTATTATTATTATTATTATTATTATTATTATTATTATTATTATTATTATTATTATCATCATCATCATCATCATCATCATCATCATCATCATCATCATCATCATCATCATCATCACTACTACTACTACTACTACTACTACTACTACTACTACTACTACTACTACTACTACTACTACTACTACTACTACTACTACTACTACTACTACTACTACTACTACTACTACTACTACTACTACTACTACTACTACTACTACTACTACTACTACTACTACTACTACTACTACTACTACTACTACTACTACTACTACTACTACTACTACTACTACTACTACTACTACTACTACTACTACTACTACTACTATTATAGTACTATTATTATTACTATTATTATTACTATTATTACTATTATTATTAGTGCCGTTGCAAGAAAAAGTGTCACAGTAGTGTCACACCGGGGAGGCCATTGCAACTTTGATGAACTCCCAAACTTTACCTATATTTCTCAGAACTCCGCACCCCATTCTCCCTTTTCATCCCCCCAACAAGATTCAACCACATCTAGACTTCATCCCACCCTTCCCCGAGCTCATTTCAGCATGGCTTGGCACACACACCAAAGGGGCTAGGCGCTGCAGTTCCGCACCATATACCCACCCTGTCAGAGGCATGCTCCTTTAGCAAACCACACAAAGACAAGCAACCCTGTTTTCTCGGTGAAAAGAGAGAAAAAAGGAGGCTTTAATGGTGGATTTCACCTCTACTAATTGGTCCTTTTGCCGAATTGGTTCGTATTTTTGTCCTCCTCTCTTGGCTGGTTATCCCGCGTGGCCTTTTAACATCTGTTTTTACCCGTTTTGGTTAGAGGAATGATTGATATAAGGCATACCCTGCCCGTTCCTTCAGTTTCTTATCTGTTATTCCATCTTTGGATACAAGTTTGTTAAACACCAGAATACCAATAACCATGTTCACCTGTTGGGAAAGAGATAACAACAGACAAGTTGGTTTGAAAAGCTCACGTCAGTCAACGTCAGAAACAAGCACACAGGAGCCTTCCCTCGGCATGCGTCTTCCCATCACTCCACTTCCCAGCACAGCTAATGGCGAAGGCTTTTGGGAGTTTTAGTCCACCAACATCAGGAGGCTCAAGACTGGGAACCACTACCATAAAGTACCATCTTCCACAATTCATGGCCCCATATCGGATGAGATTCAAGATGGAAGAACTTGGCTAACTTCTAAAGGGAAAGCAAACTTTAGGTGTGTTTTTCCCCTCATCTCTCTCCCTTTCTCTTTCAGTCTACAGAAATTTAGTATGTGGGGGCTCTCTGTCCAATTTCTTCTCTTTTTGGTTCCATCCTCTCACACCCGGCTTTGGGAATAAACTATAAATCAACACAACACAGGGGAAACACCTTCGTGTTCAGCCAGAGAGCTGCCCACCACCAGCTCGGAAGGGGCGTCTGGCCTTGAAAGCTGTGTCATGCGCACAAAAACCAAACTTTCCGGTCCTCCAGTATTGCTTGCTTGGGTGGCGCTCAACCTCGCAAAGCCTCTGAGGAAAGCCGATTGAGGTCTTTCTCTCAGGTGAGTCACATTCAGGCACCTGTAAGGTGTTCGTCAGGTAGAACTCCCAGAATGGAGAGTGATAGGATCTGTAGTCCAAAAAATAATTTTTTTAAAATCCCATCCTTAGTTTTTATCTACACGTAGAGAGGAACTGGGGAAGGAGATACTGACTGCTGGTTTCTGCCCAAAATGAGAACATAGTGTCACTCCAGGAATTTCTCTACAATGGAGAGATCCTGCACAATACCATGGTGTCCCCCCCCCCACCCCCGGTCTCCAAAACAACAGCCATGAAATTCAGACCTTTGCTTCTGGACTACATTTCATCCATCGACAATAAATTAAAAATTGAGGGTCATCTTATACATGGAAGTAAGCTGAGGAGAGAACAAAAACAAGTGGAGGGGAAAGCAGGGATCAAAGCTATCCTGCAGCACTTTGATCCCTTTCCCCCCACCCTTGCTATGCCCCACTTAGATTTCTTAATTTTGGATTAGAAAAGTCTTATACATGGGGCATTTTATCCATTGATACTAATGTGATCAAAATCAATGCATCTAGCATCAAGTTTCTGTTACTTTTCAGTTATGTGAACCATTCTTAATAGGTCCATTTAAAAATGTGATATTCAAATCTGTACAGCAGTATAGCATCCACACAATTAATTCAGAATATATACATATTCAGAATTAATTAAGCATGTGGATGCTATACTGCTGTATAGATTTGAATACAGCATTTTTAAATGGGCCTATTAAGATCTATATATATTTCTGAGGGAAAAGAACCTTAGCTGAGGACTTTTGCTTTCTTCCAGAGGCTACATCCTGTTGAGGAATTCCAGGATATTTTTTTAAAACAGGACTTTTTTTTTAAAAAAGGGCTTGGGAATGAGAGACATGGGAAGACACACATGGGGTGGGTGGGTCTTAAAAGTGGGGTGAAATACCAAAACGACAGCCGCGGCAGGTCCCACGAAGGCATAGAGCAAACCTCCTTCCAAGGAAAGCCAACAGCTGGGAAAGAAAGAGAAAATAGGAGAGTTGAGAGTCGGGGCATCAAGAAGGCTTGGTGCATCCATTACACCAGCAGTCCCCAACCATTCTGACACCAGGGGCTGGTTGAGTTGAAGACCATTCTCCCTAGGAATGGGAGTGGAGTTGAAGACCATTCTCCCTAGGAATGGGGGTGGGTGTGTTACTTGTTATGCGGTAGGTTGTTGGAGGATTGCTTTGAATCAAGCTCATTACATGTATTGTGCCCTTGATTTCTATCATCATTACACCTCCTGTTAGATCAGCACCAGCATTAGAACCTAACAGCAAAGCAAAGTGTGCTGCTTATATACCGCCCCATAGCGCTTCAAGCACTCCCTGGGCAGTTTACAAGTTAATTATGCAGGCTACACATTGCCCCCCCCCCCAGCGAGCTGGGTACTCATTTTACCAACCTCGGAAAGATAGAAGGCTGAGTCAACCTTGAGCCGGCTACCTGGGATTTGAACGCCAGGTCATGAGCATAGTTTTGGCTGCAGTACAGTGGTTTAACCACTGCACCACAAGGAGCGCAGGATCCTATGACATTCCAATGGCGCAGGCACAGCTGATGTAGCAGCCGCAGGAGGAGAGCCATCAGAGAAGCTCCGCCTCCTGTCAGATCAGCAGCGGCATCGGAACCTAATAGGAGCGTGTTGACAGGAGGCAGAGCTTCGCTTGCCCCTCCCCTCCTGCTCGCTGCTCATCTTTGCCAGCAGCCCAGTCCCTCCAAGGCCACAAACTGGGACTGGTCCACAGCCCAGGGGTTGGGAACCCCTGCATTACACAACCAAAGTTTTGTTTTAATGTTGAAACAAGGAACAGGTCTCAAGTGTGTGTGTATCTTTTCATTAATTCATGTGGAATGATTATAAACCAGCAAATCAGTTTCTTGTGTTAGCTCAACTTCCTATTACACAAATTTTTCCTTCTCTCTTGAACCTTGGGTCGTGAAAGAAAAGAGAACTCCTTCTGAGGATGTTTTTGAGTTCACCTTATCATGAGTCACAGGTTCCTATAAATGCACGCTTATCAAAGATTTCCTTCCAGTGTCTATCCCACCCAGCTAGTGACATGATTAGATAGATAGATAGATAGATAGATAGATAGATAGATAGATAGAT